TTTATCTCATCAGTACGATTACTTAATAGCCTATGAATCACGTAATATCGAATACGTGACGGAGCCGGTCGAACAAGTCAAAAATATCTGCGTTACTGTGGACCGTACTTCTTCCAGAGTTTCTCTGAACGACCAAGAGTGAAAGTAATCTCAAAATTGCCAAGTACACGAATACGTGCGTATCCCTCTTGCTTTCGATCGCTACAAGCGCCTTACATCTCTCTCTCTCTCTCTCTCTCTTTCCCTCTAGCTCTCCGGCTTATGCTTCAGAAGCGCGGTAGCCCTGGTACATACATTTTGCAACCCGCCGTGTAAAAATGTTTGGACAGGTGCGGTTTTGTAACCCTGACAGCATTCCAGCGCAAGGGACTAATTGTTAATCGGGTTTACGCTGCGAGAAAAACTTCGACGATTTTTTCCCAGCCAAGGAAAGTTTCTGTCTGCTATCGGCTATTCAAACAGATTTAGATCGAAGATCTATATGATGGTTTAGACAGGGATGTATCGACGATAGTTAGAAAAATATTCTTTGGTCGTTGTTCCATAAAACAGTGAAATTTTTACGTTTTCCAATGGTAGACGTTAAACATTGATTTGTAAACACGTTGGTTTTAAACCGCGGATTCTTAATGTAAACTCGCATTTTTACAAATGTGAAAGCTAAGGAAACAAAAGTTAATTAGAGGTTTGCTACACCCGCTAAACGTTATAGCGGGCACCATACTATGAATATGTATCTTATATATCTTTGCATATTAGATACATTCTGTACGTTTGTGCGTCTAAAATTTTCCATAAATACGTAAGCATTCGCAATCTTTGTACTCGTTAAATCGTTTATTTCAATACAAGGCGGTTCATTAACGATGTTCTATCCTTCGAAATCTTCTGTTACAAAGTTCAGACGTAGCATCAATTTTCCAAAATGTGCGTCGTCTTATATTGACTTTCATCGAGATTTCTCGAATAAAAAAAAAGTTTAAGAAGACCTAGCCGTTCTATATGTAATTTCGATCCTATTTTAATAAATCAAGGAAGATATAGACCGTATCGATGGCCGACTTGTGCCATCGTCTCTGTGATTCATCTCTGACGTACCTATTTAGAAATTTCATTAACCCGATTGCACTATTTTCGTTTTTTTATTTCCTAAGATACATCGTATTTTCTTCCTTTATGATATTTAACGACGTTCATTTGCTTATATAACGCGTCTTATTTACTTAATTATTGCCCGGTTAGAGCGGACTGTAAAAGAATGAAGTAATCTTATAACGGTAAACATCAGCGTTTACAGTTGCGACAGAAAAGAATTGTAGTTGTTCTGGTTACTGCGATATCCCTTTACTTTGATTTTTTCTACTAATTACATTGCAACGATAATCTCAAATATGGTATCTCAAATATGTATAGGCGTGTATTTTACATTATTCCTATCTGTAAACCTAATACCATTAAGTTATTCAACTTACCATATTACGAATAGTACACATACCGATTTTATAGTACTTTGCTTGTACTTAATCTATAGTCCAAACTTTGATCGATTCGTCAGCTGATTTTTTCGCTAATTACTTCGAAAATGATTCGATATCCGAAAAAGAAGAAGTTAGGTGAGTTCGATCGCTATCGTATTCCCATACCTGGATTCATTTTTAACAATTTTCGTCTTACCGATATATAATTCTAACCTCGAGGATTACAGAATAGTATTTGGTTTACGGCTTTCCTACCAATTTTCGGGAACGGGATAAGGAGTTTTTTTCTTTCTCGGGAGACACTCTCACAGATCCTGGACGAATCTTTCGACTCAATTTTTCTAACACGTTATAATTAATATCTAGCTAGCCGAGCGAGAGTCGAAGCAAGAAGCTACGGGTTTTAAGTAAAATTTATTAAGAAAAACGATTTATAATTTAAATAGAAAATAGAACGCACTACCAACTCGTGTAATTTACCGCTGTACCTAAACGCTCGTTTCGAACAGTGTTTCACAATTGCGTTGCAGAAACCGTGATTCCGTCGTTCGTCGTTCAAGAAATAAAACTGCGCTACAAAAACGAACAGCATTCTGGCAAGTACAAGATCGAAGTTTATATGTATATGTACATTCTCGTAAGACATTACTTTCAATAATCTCTCGCATATGGCAAATGCGTTACCTGCTTTTAATCTCGTATCGTAGTCAATGAAAGAGAATAAAAGAATAAAAATGAAACCTCTGATTTCGTAATTAAAAAGATAATACACTGTATCGTTCGCGATATCGATACTATAGCAACGAAAGCAGCTTCTAATTCTTCAAATGCCAAACAACATCGGCCATCAACGTCGAACGATAAGATGAAAACGTCAAAAGACGTTAATGCAATTCTACCAAAACAGTTTCACGTTCCTGGGATTAATAATGGGATGAGATGTCTGGAAAAATAGCCTATAAGTCTATGAAAAATGTATCGAGGGTGTCGATCAACAGATAGTTGAATTATTATGAAATATATATTTATTTCCAACATATAAAAAAGAAAAGAAAGCTCTGTAAGAGAGCCGTTATAATTGGCAGGTTAACCGTAGTTAATATTGGTAAGTCAGAATTAGAGCTTCTTTACTAAAAAGTTTGCTTGAATCGCTGCTTTTTCTTATAGGTTCCTTCTTCCAGAAAGCTCGTCAATGAGCAATCGCAAAGACAAAAAACCTTTAATGATATTACTAAACTCGTGGCAAAGAAATCGAAGTTAAAGTACGTGTTGTTATTTCTATACTCGGAGGTAAAATCAGAATAGCTATTATTTTATTGAATGGATAAATCAATCACACCGTTCTGAGCCAAAAAAAAACCTTTATAGCACGCGCTTACAAAAACTAGGGATAAAAACAAAAAGGCATCTTAAGCCTATCGATTAAATCTATCGATCGTAGCTAGGATAATCCTCTAGTTGCTATTTCTTATAACTAACGCATCTGCATATGAATGGCGAGCACGAACTCACGTTGTCATTTTCAACGGTACGAAATCCATAAGAGCAACGATGAGACGTCATTCTGACGATTCTGTTAGTTCGATAGTGTTTAAGAAGACGTTGCTTTCACCTTATTAGAGCGGAAGACAAAAACTGAGAAAAACTGGTTCGAAATGATACGCCACTTCGAAAGTGTAATCCCATAAAAGCAAGCAACGCAATTTGTAGAAACAACTGCCTGATTTCTCTGTAGCATTTGCTATAAGCGAAAATACAGGACACGATATCGATGTAAGAATAGAATAGTGAAGAAACTATTTCCAATAACGAAGTTCGAGGTGCAGTAGGCTAGTAGAACGGGTTGCCCTACTATCGTATATGTTACGCGTCTTTCTGATTATGTTTGACTATAGCCAACATGCTTTACAGTCACGAGCGTCGGTGCATGGCTTGGTCAGAACCCGATCCGAACGCTGCAGCGCGACGCGACGTCCCGTTCTCTTCGAAACTTTTCAATCGAGTGAAATTCCCGGCAATAGCCACTGGCCAATTGCATGGAAAGTTTGAAAAAGTAGAAAGATTCCAACGAACTTAAAGAAATAACTTAAATTACCGTACATCCATGTTGCATTCTTACGTTTATGCAAAAGATGATATAGGTTTGATTCTTATGGTATCGAATATTTATGAAATACTTCTCTTAACCCATAATCACGAACGTTTCTAAGTTTTGCAATCGTCGGAACGTTCGTTCGTTACAAAGAAGATATACTCGTTTATTCGTTAATAACGTTATCAAATTATGATAATCATCAAATTATTATAATTGGAGGTAAAATATATAATACTGTATAATATTATAAAGATTATAAGCTATAAAGGTAATTTACACTAAAATATAAATATTAATTTCAATTATTTGGTAAATAATCTGTAGAAGAATATATAATAAATAAAATTTGAGCATTTTATATATATCATATACGTATTATAACATTGAGCATATTATATATATGTGATAAACTTTATTGACACGTACTTGCACCAGTTTACGTACCTACTTACAGTCCAGTTATTTTTGTCTCTAGTTACATTCTTTTTAGTTAATAGTATTCATATCGGAAGATTCTTCGCGAGAAATTTTTTCCAAATAAGATAAAATATCAATTTCAAGTTCGTTGAAACAACGTCGATACAGCGAGTGCATTTGATGAATTACAGTTAAGTCGAAAACGACTATCAAACGCATTCTTTACGATACATGGAGAAAACGAGAACCTCTTATGATAATTCAAGTTTCTCTGGTAACGTTAAGAATTTCTTCCTGATTTTAAGGTGGAAACAGGAAAACTCTCTAATCTGTTATACATCTTCGAAGGAAGTTTAACTTTCAGAGTAACATGCCTTTTAAGGATTTTTATAGCAACTTTTTTCGTGCTTTTTAATATCGCGACGTGTTGTTTTAAATTTATTTATTAGGCAAAAATACAAAGTTGAAACTATCGTAATAAGTTTACTATGTATAATATGTAACTTTTATATCGATATTTTAATAAAACACGAAGATCTTACAATTATACATTTGCCTCTAATAATTGCTTGTGTTAGTTGGAAAAACGTTTAAAAATTTTCTTATATAGAGTAACGGACTAAGACGGTAGCTAACTAAGTATTTAGGTATAATTGCATAGGTTTAAAAGAATATAGTATTTGTAGAAATACTCGGATTTGCGTCCGAAGGTAGCCACAACCAGCGATAACATCGTTTAAATACCAGAAAAACAATTTTCGATGTTTCCTAACTTCAAAAAAGATCTGCCAATTCTAGTCTGTCGTTTCATCAAAGCTTGGCAAGAATTACGATCACCCTCGTATTTAAATTTGGAAAAAAATTCAACCGCGTTATCTCACGGAATTGAGATTCTGATCGTCGTACTTTCGCGGTACAATACAAGCGCTAATGCTTTTAAACACCGGATCGTTTCATCACGATCTAACGGAACCATGCAGAAAATCATAGAGTAGCTACGATATGCTTACCGTGCTTGAGTTTCCCGTTCTTCGAAACGAGGAAGGACAAGGGTCGTGGAACCTTGTCCGTGCACAGGCCATCGTGTTGACTCGTTCTTTGTCCGAATAGAGCGTTTCTTCCTACTTTCATGTATTCTTTCCCCATCTTCTTTGGCGAACTGATCCCTAACAGTGATCCGAAGAACTTCATTTTGAGCTATTACGCAATCAGATTTCACGATAATCATAGAAATTTCACAATTTTCTCGAAACTTGCTCTTTGTTTTTCTAACGTTAACTTTTCTAACGCTATACCGATTAGGCTTCGGGAAGTTATTTTTCGTCAAACGAAGTTATACTACGAGAAACGTCGAAGAGATCGCGAAAGCGATAAATACCGTTGCTAGAGTTAGTATACTGTTAATAGTCTCACTATTAAGATTCACGGTAATTCAGGTAATTGGATAATTCGTGCTCTGTTTATCGCCACTATACCGTAGAAATTTTGTTTCGGTTGATCTACGATTTGTTACGTTTTGAAAGTATCGTTTCACGTCACTTCTCCGAACATTGTTCCCGGGGATGTACGCGATCTCTTCTTAAAACATCGTTAACAGAAATAGTTTGCTTTTTTCTTCGCGATCGGGATCGATTCTTCCTTGCTCAAACCTATTTCCCTCTTCTTTACTGTTAGTTGATAGCTCGAATTACGCTTTTACGATCGTTTACGAGATGCTATTCTCCATCATTAACCTCAACGATCCTCTGCGATTTTCGCTCAGGCATCGCACGCTTCTGTCTTTGCAGAGTCGTCTTCTGAAATAGGAAGAAGAGTCGATGTTAGTAAATTGTTAAGCTTTTTGTGCACGATGCATCAAAGACACGTAGAAGGGAGGAAAGCAGTATCCGAAGAAGTAATATAGAGACGATAGCCAGATTCAGATACGGTAACGAGGAAAGATTTTGATAAATTGCGGGCGAAAACAAAAGCGAAGAAGCGTAGATACAAGCACGTACGTATCATTGCCTGTAACTATAATTATAAGTATTATTTGAATATTAATTAGATACGTTATTCTGACACATGCAGTATGTATTTATAACTGATAAAAAGTAAAACTACTTAGAACTCGTAAGGTATATTGAAATATTCAATATACTTTATAACAAATATTCTTTGGTTTAATTTTTAAATGTATTGAATACATCGTTCTACCCCTTTGGATTATCGCGCTTCTTACTTTCCTATATTTCTGTATAGAAATAAATCGCAAATCCACATTTTTACTTATACGAAAATAATTTTTAATAAATATATACTATAAATGAAACCTCGATAAAAACGTAACAACATCATAGAAAGTGTAAATATGAAAGTTATTTCGGTCTCTATACGTATAATGGTAACAGGGTTAAAGGTTGAAGAAAACGAAATTTCAAACAACACGGAGAATTCCTAATAGTACTTACACTTTCACTACGAATTAACACAAGTACGTAGTATTTACTTGTGTGCTATATACAATGGTTATATATGGTCGGGAAAGTAGTAAGGAATATTTCTCTCGTTATAATTTAACGCTGCGTTATGTTACGTAAAATATAATCGTGTTTTAGAGGAAAAATGTTGTTTCGAGATAAAAAAGATGCCACTACTTTGTCGGAATTTGTAGATATTTGTTGATATGGTTTGTTAAAAATTAGGAAAAAGTTTAAATCCCTTAACGAAGTACGATTCTTTGACTTCCAATCGAATCATCGATGAACTTCATAAATTTTGTAAAATTAGAGTTCTTTCGTTCGAGTTGGAGGTATGAAGCTACTCGTTGACCCATTACGAGAGAACCTCGAGAAAGCTATTTTAATCAGTTGCTATTTACCTTTGAATTTTTAATGAAATCTATCTTAAGATATTCCAATTTTTAACACGTACACGCAAAAAATAGAAAGCGCCGATTGAAGGAAACTGTTAATCTGTCCAACATACGTTACGAAACATACGAACGTATGTAATTCGTGTTGAGTGAATTCTACTTTAAGCATGACATTCGCATCTTATTACTGTTACAGTTTATACCCTTACGTATACAATATTTCATAATTTTCGTACCATTGTATATTCGTGTAAAAACTATTTACATATATTAAACCTTATATCGTCTTACCGTTTATAAGGCACAATTATTTCGAAAACGACTTTATGATTTTATGACGCAACATTATTTATATTTTCATTCTTATTCTTTATGTGCATTGCGATATAACGGCATATTTTCTTCCAATTGCACGTATGACGATAGATGTATCCCTAGTAGGGAATCCGCTGCGATATAAAGTTTCGTCTAATTTCATTAATCTTCGATACTTTCCACTTTTAAACCCTTTTTAACCAGATATGGTTTAATTAAAAATATTTACACTCCTTGGTATACAATTGTCGACTGTGTAAACGTAAACTTCCCTGATTTACTAAACTAATATTTGTGTAACAGGACCATAACGGGATATTTCGCAAGATATTAGAGATAACATTCTGTAAATATCGAATTCCGGAAAGGTATCAAAGAGTAATTGGCCTAACTGTATTTTTATTTTCACGAGGAATTTGTCTTCGACGATGGTCGTCGCACATATTTCACTTCGATATAAGTATTATGACAATTTTCATCTTATTTTCACTTCTCATATTTTCTATACCGATTCGTTAATGTGTACTTTAAGTAATTTGTCCGATTATTATGTTAAAAAATAGTATTACTTTATTACACATACTTCGTTTATCTGCTTTAGTCCACGAATTTGTCGATAAAATATTTTGTATACATACTTTTGTATACATAGTCACTGAACCCCGCGGAGCTTTTTCTTTGTAAAAATTCCTTCAGGCTCTGCGCAGACGAGCAACGCTTCATCGTTGCGGTGTCGTTGTGCGATTCGGCAAGATAATATTTTTAATTGTGCAACGTACACGATCCCGCTACGATATCGCAAGTGCGACGTCTCGGTGTCGTTGCGATCTCGCGTCAGCGACGTCGTTTGCGATTTATTTGTAGTTATGCAATGTATACAAGTCTGCGATGTCACAACCGAACAAACGATATTGCAGTGATTGCGCGTCATTTGCCGAATCGCAAAATTGTCGCACAGCGTAACAACCAAATATAATATCGATATTTTCGTTTTAACGTTACCGTGCATCGTTAATTACCTTTCTCCATCAACTGGATTCTTTCGACATCGTATCGTTAGCAGCAAAAATTCGGAAATATGGAATGTAACGCGTGATAACTATCGCGATGAAAATAGGAACAACCTAGCCCGGATGAAAATCCATGAACAGCTCTACACAAATTTTAGAGAAACGTCTAACGCCGGAAAGACCGCGGTTAGTAAGTCACGTATGGTGTAGCAAACAAATGCGCGAATCGACAATCATTTTAAAATACCTATTTACCATTATTTTCGAATATTCTAACATGTCTGCAAAAGATTATACACGAATACGACTGGAAGGCTCGATATGTATATTTTATTCATTTTCATTACAGTGCCGGTATCCTTTAGCTGAATTCCGCTGTCGATTCATCGAAAGACTCGATACTCGTACGAAAGTAATTAAAAAGTTTGTTTCATCCTCTTTCAACCCCTAAGCGTCGTGGCGATGGCACCTTTCGGAAGATTACCATCGTATAGTATTTTCTACCATTTCCTGTAATAAAATATTTGTATACTAAATACGCAAAACACTGCTTCGTTCATAGCTACGTTCTATCCATAGCCAGTCTCGTATCGCATAGCTGCACCGCAACGGGATCGCAACCGGTGTCGTGCCGCTCGTGTGCACCTCAGAGATCGCGGTGCATCTGACAGATACAGTAGCTTAAAATCTAACTATGCTGTAGCGCTTATTTTTGCGAAAGAAACTAAATATATGAAGAGTCTTTAATTGTACTAAAATTAATGCAAACTACGATATACCAGCCAACGATCATACCCCGCTGGAACCACTCGTTCTCGATCAGCAAAACATAAAATATAGATATACTTGAGGTATGTATAAACTACGTAATTACTAATTTAAGTACAAAGAACGAACAATTATAAACTTAAAAATATCTGGAATTAGATTTTACGCGCGCCTGTCGGATGAACCGCGATCTCAACCGCGAACCGCCCGTGACATGTAAATGTAGAAATATACATACTATACTATGCGTGTAATCTGTAGGCGAAGTGTTTGAACTATATAGAGTGAAAGCGTAGGTGGAGAAGAACGAAGGAAGAGGAGATAAAAGACGCGTGTCTCAAAACTCTCAAGCCGTCAGGCGAGAACTATACACGAATAATACAAATTCCAAATAAATATAGATTCCAAAAATAGTAAACAAATTACAAAACTGATAAAAAAGTTAGTTACAAGATCGTATTAATCGTTTAAGCCAATTATAACTTACGTTAACATACTGTGAAAAGTCCCGGCCGAGGAAAAAACTCGAACGACAAAGAAATAGCCTTGTCAGATGACTAGAGCTGTTACGCATAACGAAAATAGGATTTGTTCGATGATAGACACGCAACGAAACCGTTACATCCCCGAAGAGACAATATAATGATTCTATAGCCCTGGGAACTGAGAATTTCCTCGACAAGAATACGAGATACTTGACAGATCATCGCGAGACGTTTCAACTCGTAACCAATTATTCGTTTTATCGAAACAATTTCCAACCTTATTACAAAAATTTAACAACTACTTCAATTATATCGGTTCCTCTCCTTAAACCATCATAAATCGTTATATCTGGACTTGTATATGCTTCGCTTGCGTTCATAAAAATGTGAATTTTGTATAGATTGTTAATAAATTAAATCGTTTTATATTACGATGATACGTTAAGGACAAGTTTATAAATTTTTCTAATTTCGTGGTATGGCATATTTTGACAACAAATGCAGAAATTGTCTTGCGTAAAAATTGCACGAACTTCGTGGAAAATTCGATATTTCATGGCAGTGATTCAACGACGAACCGATTTCACCGACGTATCCACTAAAGAAATGAACGAGTGTTGGAAGTGAAAACTATTTCAAACTTTCAGTGCCTAGATTTCGAAAAATGACGAAATGAATATAATATCCTTGGAAAGCTTGTCGGCCGTAATGTAAATTTCTGTACAAATATCTTACAATTATTGAGAAATTATATATGAATGCAGTCGACTTGTTATATACTTATCTGTGTAAATACGTACGTTACTCCTTACTGAAACATTAATCAAGCGATTACTTAAACACATAGGATAATTGGTTCTTTCTACACGTGTTCCACTTATCCATATCGATAATCTTCTAAGATTTGATTTTCAAAGGCGAACATATACTTAATATTAGTATTCTAAAATACACGTTTAATAATATAAAATGGAATACGTTATTGCTCGTCAAACAAAGCAAAGAGATATTTGTTTTGAACTATTTTATAAATATTCCACGAATAAACATTAAACATTGATATTAAACACGCGTGAGAACAATGGTTTGTAACTGGAGATTTACTTTTTACGTACGTACTTCTTATTTATACAAATATTGTACTCTGCTTTAGTTATATACTCCTTGTTCAAAGAAATACCGCAAATACTTGTATAACTGAATTAAGTCTGATTCGAGGATCCAAATGCTAAATACAAAAAATTTGAATAACGATTCACTTTTGAACAGAAATATAATAACAAATATTTGTATTATGTGTGTACAAGTAAATTATTTACTAATACGTATTTACGTATTGATAGTACGAGAAGATAGTACGAGAA